ATGGGGCTTATTGTACATTACAGGGACGTCTCCGGCCCCGCGGCCCTTCGCTGCTCACACCATTAGCCCCCATCAAATTACAGCAGCTGTGAGGAATTCACAAAGTCTGGTGTAAAAGGGGGTAAAAACACAGCGGAGGGGGGGGGGGATAAAAACTGGGAAGGAGGAGAGTCAGTGCCGGGGTAGGTCCAGGGTGGGGGAGGGGGGGCGGGCGGGCGGGCGGTGTGGGTTACAAAAACAAAGCCGGAATTTAAAAACAAAGTTTACCACCGTAGGAAAACAACGGGGCTAGAAAAGGTGGGTGGGTGAGGAGAGAGAGAGGGGGGGATTAAAAAGAAAATGCGCTAGAATCTGGACTTTGGTTGGCCGACGGCCCGAGTCCCCGCCTCCGTCACCCCAGCCCCCGCCCTCCCTCCCTCACTCAGTCTCCGGCCCTAACACAACAGAATCCCCCCACAAGCCCCAGCCACATCAGGAACGGCTGGCTACATTATAGCTGCCATTATCGTCTCTCAAGTCAAAACAGCCAGAGAACCCCACCTCGACTGCATCCGTCAAGAGGGGGGAGGGCTGGGAAGAGGTCGCAGAGCAGGAATGAGCCGGGGAGAGAGGAACGAGGGGAGAGGGTGGAGGCAGCGGGGAGAGAGAGGGAGAGAGCGAGAGAGAGGGAGACACACAGAGAGAATGAGGGAAGGGGTGGGGGAGAAAGACGGGGAGAAAATAGTTTGAGACGGGTGTTTACACTGCGGGACGCGCTCCCAAGATGTGCGCATGTGAGTTTGCTTTGGGCCGTTGTCTAAGTAGGAGTTTATCCCGCAGACACACCGGGTCTACTCACATTCCCATATAAGAGGAGGGGAGAAAGGAGGTTAAGAGGAGAGGGGCTGTCATTAAATGCCTCTTTCTACATCGGATTGGGAGGGGGGGGCGGCATGTGTTGGCCCCAGTTTAGTGTTACACCCGAGAGTAAAGCAGTGGAGTGGGCGCGGATCGGGCCTTTTGTCTGACACAAGCAGTGACCTGTTGAAATGTCTGTCCTCCGTGGAGACATCCTGAGAGGGAGGAGGACCGACGCTTAATGGGGACGTCACAAATGGCCGACCGCTGCAAGACTAAACAATGTTTCTCTTTGTGCGCCGCAAACTCAAACGATCACCTGAGAACGGGGGTCCGTGGGACAAATGCTTACCAAAATAAAATCACTTAATGCAGTCCAATCCCTGCAAGAGGAAGGACACTTTGGCTTTGTTAACATTTAGCAGAATGAGGCTTTTCTACTATTGCTATTATTATTATTATTACACTGCGTCAGCATCTATATTGGCCTGTAACAGCAGTGCAAAACAAAGTGTTAATAGTGTTGATCTACCTAAAGCGAACAGTGTCCACTTAAATCTGCAGGTCATATTCGAACAAGTAAGAGTGTAGCAACAAAACCGCTGTGTGTTGAAACCGAGTCAGGGTGCATTTGAATCCAAATTCTGATTTATATGACGAAGGATTTTATATCTGTTGTTGAAGTTAGTAGCAGCTTTGCAGAGCTGGGTTTCTGACAGCGAATGAGTAATGGACCACCAGGGATACAAAGCCATATTTTATTTATTGGTGGTTAAGCTGTTCGCTGGTCGGGAAGCTGTGAATGGAAACTTGTTAGGATAGACCACAGTCACAACTTGTTGAGCTTGTTAAAAAAACAACAACCTCTAATTGAGTTAAACAGCTAATATCCATCCAGGGTACTACCTTTCAGCAAGGACTCAACCACGAGTGTAACGGGAATGCCTTGAAGTACCTTGGAGCTGTGCTTTTACAACGTAGGTTCTCACCTGTAACACCCAAAATTAACCAACCTCAACATTTCTTTTCCTAATCATGCAGAGCTTTGACAGAACAACAGCCTTATGGACTTATGCAACAAACCTCAAGCGCTGAAATCATTCGACAAATTGATTGCTTGGCTAATTCAAAGTCAATTAGACATCACAGGCACCCGTGACCTTGATTTTTTTTTTTGTCATCTTTCAGTGTTCATAATAAATGCAGAATTTATTTCAAACCTGCACTAGCTTCCTTTCTACAAAGCATGCCGCTCTTTTTAAAGTCTCCCACATGCCAATGCTATATTCATGACTTTTTTGGACCACTGAATATGGTCAATGTTGAGGACAAAGTGGTTGGGTGAGGTTGGCGATGTCTTGTTTAAGGTGTGGCTAACTTGCGTGTGTGTGTTGTGATGATGCAGGCGTGTGAAGCCGGACTGTTTTGAGTGGAGAGGTTTTTGGGGTGTAGCAAGTGGCTGGACGTCCTGTCCTCATCCTCCGCTCCTTGCTTCCTGCCCGGCTCGCCGTGCCGCAGCCGAGTGCATTTGTTTGGTTAGCAGTTTGATTTATGGCCTTGGGGGTTTTTAATATGTGTCCGTCCCATTCCTTTAAAAAACCCAGCGCCACAAAATTACACCGGGGGCAAATCTTCCTGAGCGTTTCTCCCTAGATATTGATAGCTCAATGCCACGACACCTGTATCAGCACCGTGCACATATGTAATGGCCCACCCATGTGGCCCCACACGCTGTATACAAGCAGATATGTACATGCGTACATTTACAAATGCGGTACAAAGCTAGTGATGTTCCACCTGATACAATTTAATTTCTCTTTGTCATGTTTTTCTGGTTGAAAAGGACTAAATCTGCAATTGGTTGCGTTTACCTGTGTTGCATCATGACAATAAATTATCCTCGGATCGTTCAATATACACAAGTGTTTACACATGTTTACATGGCGTTTATTTTATGTCTTGAACACATTCAGTATGCACATTTTGCAACTCGACACATTTCTGAATTATATTAAAAGACGTTGTCTTAATGTATTAACTGCACATATTTAGTACATACTTGTCATTTATAGAAGACAAGGATGCTCGGACATGAATTCTGTTGACTTATTATATCTTTGCACTTGCTTCACAGGAAATCCAGTAATGAGTGAATATCGTTGCCTCGCTCCTCGTAAAAATATTTGTACACACTCTCTCGAACACACACGCACACACACACACACGCTGCACTGCGATTACACTTGTCCCCAGGACTCACTTTTCATACACACCTGCTACTGCGCTCTGACAGTAGAAACTGCCTTGGATTACACTTTCTTTCACATACACACGTACACACACATTCTCTGCAGACTTGGTGGCCACAAGATTATTATGCTATCCCCTGGCGAGACTGACAGGTGTGTGTGTGTGTGTGTGTGTGTGTGTGTGTGTGTCAGGCAGTCTGGCGACCCTCTTCTTGGTATTTATGAGTCCTGGACAGCTGAGGCGCTCGGCGAGATCTCTATTTAGCGCTTCCGGCTCATTATCATACACACAGCCGAGGCAGGCGCTGAATGTATGCAATTAGCCCCAGAACCGCCCACGTCATTTAGCCACTCGCTAACTTTGCGTGTCAAATCCCCCTGGTGGCTTGCGGGCTTAAATAGGTCCCCGCTGCCCTTTTAACACTTGTGCTACTGCATAACAGGCCCGGCAACAGAGCTGTCATCCGCAGGGCACGGGAGCTTTGCCGGTTTGGGTTTGAGCACTTGTCACATGGACCGCAGCAGCGGAGTATTCTGATTGGGCGTGCATGGCGAGGACTTGGGTGTGCAGTCTGTTAAGGGTGCGAGACGGTTCAGATTTGACTGAACCCTGTTGTTCTAGATTTAATCTGTTGCATCATTTTTATTATTGCTTCAGGTCATCCAAAATAAATAGAGACACGTTAATACAAGTACGTTTAGGATTAAAACGCTAACACAATATTGGCTGTTTTACATTATACTTTTTAGTCATTTTAATTCTAATTACCTGTGTAAGAGCCCACAGTCCTGACTATTAGTACCTGCACTGATGTGGTTGCATGTAGTAAGCAGGAGCTCGTTCCCAAGATTTCTCAGCTAGAATTACCTTACGCATGCAATCTGCAGGCTGACAGATACCATCTCAATGAACCACATGGCTGCTTTTTATTTCAACTCTTTCTTCCATGTCTGTTGCTAGCATTCTGCAACTATTTATTGTTTTTTAGCTTTGAGGCATAACCCGGGATTTCTTCTTCTGTCTGTCCCACGGTTGATTGCTACTTTCCAGGACGGGAAGGTGTGGCAGGTTTTCAGTGTCAGTCAGCAGTGTTTGAGGTGCACAACTTTGTTTAGAGAAGAGCGATTAGGCCCAAGCCCACTGTTTGTGCGCCCGGGTTTTGTCTAATCTGTGTGAGTGTGTCCGGGAACAACAGCACCATCACGTAACCTGCCTTTAAAGTTCAGTTAGCCGAGCTTACGCCATGTTGCGTTGCTAATTGGTGTTCATTTTATAAGATCATATGTATAATATATACGAATCTTTCATTCATCCAGATGGAGACATTAGATGCAATGTCTTTGCTAAAATTGTCTAGTACACATACAGAATCATAATGTTATGCGTTCTCTGAGACTTTGCATCCTTGAGAAATGTTGGAGCTTTTACTCATGTGAGAATACAGTTATAAAACATTTTGGGACTATTTTGCAATAAAGTTATTGAATATTTCTAATGACATACGATGGATTGAAGGTATAGTAGTGCCACAATTATCATTGCTCACTGTGAGGGCTGCTGGTTTTTATTCCTCACTAAATGTGACTTCTGACCTGTTTTTTCCAGACTGCAGGACGTATTTTCTTTACTATGTTACACATTATTTCTACTTTGGTTTTCGCTTTTACTGGAGTAAACGCGTGTGCGTGCTGGCTTTGTTTGGAAGAAGTATGACTCACGCTATTGTTTTACTCTTCATCTCCCGGGTTTGGTTTGCTCTGGTATTAACAACCTACATCATCTTTTTCTTTCTCCACCCGACCACAATCGTTTTTGTCCCTCGTGCCTTTTCTCTGCCGACTAGTTTAGTTTAGCTCGGCGGGGTTTTGTTTGGGTTTCCTCATCTCACCGTGTCCTTGTCTTCTGCGTGTCAGGTCCAGGCTGTACGGGGCGCAGTAGGTCTCTGAGCTCCAATGCCAGTGGACATGCAGCCACACCAGGGGCTGTACCACTACGAGACCTCACCCAGCCATCCCTCCAGAGGGTAAGACACCAGTTGGCTCATTGCTCACTCATTGCTCCGTGTATACAGGGTGAAAATGGTTTCAGAAAGATGAGGAATACTGCAAAAAGTTATGTTCCTTTCTTCCTTAGAGTAAAATTGGATTTAAGACTGTCTATACCAATCAACAGAGATACTGAGGTTATTTTAGTCTTAGCATGTAGAAAGGGAGAAAAAGCAAGCCTGACACTGTCCAGACTTCAGGCATTGCCCATTTTTTGCTGATAAGACCATAATATTTATGTTTTTGGTTGTGCAGGTTTTATTATTGTTTAACATTCAAATGAATTAAAAAGCATCATTCTTATTCGTTATGCCATTATAGCATCATTATGTCACAATGGCATAAAATGGTCATGACAATAAAATCCTTCATCACAATTATTTATTGGGCAAGATATCGTCCAACAAACCGACCTAAAACATGAATAAAATGTTTGCTTTAGAAAACCAAGATAAAAGTGCAATAAGTGATAAAGTTAAACAAGTTACCTAAAAAAATCTGCCAACAAATAAAACACTAAAGGGATATCAGTCAGCGTGAGGGCCGGGCACATTACAGCAGGCTTACAGTTCACCCACTTCTACTGCGTGTGTTGACAGATATGGTCCACACAATGGCGTAAAAACCTGCCTGCGATAACGAGTCTGTTAACGCCCCCCCCCCCAAAAAAAAAAATCCCAAGCGACGGCTTCTACGCGGCGCTGACATCGTGCGGCAGACTTGGGCGCTGGACAGAGCCGACGCTCGCTGTCCAGAAACTGCACCTATTTTAATCACGCAGATATTCTGAGCTCGGAGGCCTCGCTGCAATTGTTGTGGCCGCTGTGGTGCAAGCTCGGTCCCTCCCTCCCTCCCCCTCCCTCTCCTCCCTCCCTTCCACATGCCACCCAGGTTGCGGGTGGACTCGGCCTCTCTCTGACAGCTGCTAATTACAGGCTGACCAGGCCCCGCTGTGCTCTGCATGACTGCCTCGCGCCCCGCTCAGGTTACGCAGACCGAGGGAGAAACACAGAGAGGAAGATGGAGAGAAAGGTGGTCAGGACAGAGAAAGACGAAGGGAGGAAGAGGAGATAGGGAGAGAGGGGGAGAAACAGAAGGGGTGAATGGGAGAGGAGAAAGGGAGAAAGGGGGGGGGGGGGGGACCGGCGCAGTGGATTAGAGGGGACAGATTAAGCTCCTGTGTGGAATACACGTTGTGCTGAAAGAATTAAAGACCTGAATGGACGACTTAGGAGGAGGTGGATAGATGAAGTCTGCACCCCCATTTTTGGGGAGAGGAGCAGGAGAAATGGAAGAGGAGAGACACATTTTGAAATGGCCAGTCAGAGTGAGGAGACAACGTTGAAATTCATGCGAGGGGCTGGAAAGTTCCATTGCAGCGTCCCTTCTCCAGTCTGGTTGGGGAAACCCCAGAGGAGTGACTTTCCCCGGCGAAGACCAGCACGAGGGCTTTACGCCATCTAGTGGCTGGAAGCAGACGTCACAAGGTGGTGCCTCCATCTGTGCACCACCTCTCAAAAGTTTGTTTGAGCAAATCGATGTGGTGGTGTTAGTAGGAGCTATTTAATCGGCACAATCGTTTTGCATTTATTCAGGCCCAAAAGTGACACAGAAAATTATTATTATTTTATTTATTACCTACGTTAGGAGTCCAAAATCCCACATATATTTTCTGCATCTCAGTTGTTGTTAAAAGGTAATGTTTCAAAGAGTACTAATAAAGAAGAGACAACACAGTTGCAGCACATTCTAATATTTACTCTGCTCCCTGCCGTAAGTTGTGTGCAGTTGCCTTTTAAGCAAACTATCTGATTAATGATGCATATCTAATGATATCCGCAGCCTCGTCCCATCAGACCAGTCTCCATACACCGATGTGTCCTCGCTGCGCGCCCCCCTCCTCAACGGCCATCCCCAGGACTGCCGCGCCATGTATAATCCCATGACTCCCAGCATGGCTCATGGATCAGGACAGGGGATTGGCAACTGCATGGATCAATATATGAGGCCCCCTCAGGCGCCACCGCCACACAGCATGATGGGCCACAGAGGCATGCCGCCCACAGACGGTGAGTCGGGGTATCTTTTACGTCTCCTTAATCTCACAGCTGCTACTGAGTTGGATTTAATGATACCTGAGAGAACGAGGACGAAACTGAGACTGCCCAGGTTTCTGCAAAAGGAAAGAACTCGTCAACAGAAGGCCGGTTGTACTGCTGAGATATAATCTGCTGCTCGGAGAAACCGCAGCTTGGGCTAATCTTAATCACTCGGTTAATTTACTTAAAGCGGCACACACATAGTTTTTGCTCGTTCATTTTTTTTTTTAAATGCCATCTGTCACAAGACATTGTGTTGGTTGTTTTTTATTTAATTTCGTTCGGTCTTCCTCCATCTGCACCCAGGAGAGAATACTTAATGCAAGCACCACTGTGTATTTTTATACAGAATATACCATTTAAAAACATGAAGTGAATAAAAGTATGAACAATAAAGCGATTACTGCTACAGTCTCTCTTGCTCGACCGATCAGCTGGTGTTGGATGTACAAGGCGGCTGGTGAACGTGTTTTGTGTGCACTCGGAGCTACGCGGCGATCTGCAAAAACCCGAGGGACGTGAATGTGGATTTTTGCCGTGGTGTGTTTCAGTGTTTCTGTCTGTCCCAACAGGTGGCAACAGCACTGCCTACTGTAACCAGAACAACATGATGTCCTCTCATCACAACTTCTGCCAGTTCCAGTCCTCCTCTGATCAGATTGGCTCAGGTGATGGTAGGTTAACACTCCCACCGTTTGCTTTTGTACCATGAAAAGATGTTGCACCCTCAGCTCTGACCCTCGCCGTCCCTTGTTCCCATTTAGGCTCCAGGTTCTCCACACCTCGCTCCATCCTGAAGCTGAGTAAAAAGAGGGCCCTGTCCATCTCTCCTCTGTCTGATGCCAGCGTGGACCTGCAGACCGTGATCCGAACATCACCCAACTCCCTCGTGGCCTTCGTCAACTCTCGCTGCAACCCAAACGGTGCCAGTTCCTACGGACACCTCTCCGTGAGCGCCATGAGGTCAGATTTATCGCCATTCCACCTAAAGAAATACCCCATTCCTCACACGAGTAAGGTTTAATGTTCAAGGGATTTAATTGAAAGTATCTGCCGGACATTCGCTGACTTTAGAATAGCTTTATAACATACAATGGAGTTCCCTATTAAGAGAAAACAAGTTTACCAGTGTTGGTAAATGTCAAAATGTACATACATATTCATATTTCATTAGGTTTTATTGATTTTATTAATTTTAAATGATTTGATCCCACCAGTTCCATCAGCTTTTCATCTCTTTAAGTTCTATTATTGTTTCCTCTGTTACTCCGCAGCCCGTCCCTCGGCTATTCCAGCAATATAAACTGCCAATCCAGGCAACAAGTGTCCATGTATGGAGGAGGCGGGGGGACACCTCTTGGAGGACACTCAACAGGTCCTTGCCAAGCGTCCCGCTTACCGCCCCACAATCCTCGGCTCCACGCTCCGCCCAAGCATGGACATGTAAGACGAATAGGAGGCTGCAACAGGATTAGAAATCTGTGTTGATTTTATGACTGAATCAAAAAGGTGACATGTGTATTTTTGTTCTTTTGTAGCTAAAGACGGAGCCGGGGCTGGGAGGTGTGATGGACGGCATGAACGTAAAGAGCCTGGAGGAGCGGTCGGAGGGCGATGTGGCCAGTCCTTCCTCCACTGGCACTCAGGTGCAGAACCAATCTTGTTCACATTCATAAATGTACATCTTTGGCAATAGATTTGTAAAATACAAATGCCGCAGTATACAAGAAAACGTATACTGCTCATGTTTCACTGATCCGGACTCATTTGGCAGACCAAGTTAATACCTTTTGTTTACTTTTGACAATTACGAGAAAATCACAACTTTGCAAAGAGCCAATCAAATCGCACCGCGGCAGCAGGTAACCGGCCTCACTTGTTGTTGCGTCGTTGTTTTCCCACGCCCTCACGTACCACTCGATGTTGGGCCTCTGTCATACTTTCCTTCGTCTCCAGGCACAAAGCTCTGGTTTGAACCTTTTGTCTTTCATCAGGACCCTCTGCTGGGTCTACTGGACGGCAGAGATGACTTGGACAAGGAGGACGGGAAGCCCGAACCAGAGGCCATCTATGAAACCAATTGTCACTGGGAGAGCTGCAACAAAGAATTTGACACGCAAGACCAGCTAGTTCATGTAAGATGAACTACTAATAAGATCGACTGATTAAGAGACAATAAATACAGAGAAATAGTTTTTAACTAAATGTATCTGCGGGAGACAACTTTAAAAATGATCGGGATTTTCTATTTAACAGCACATCAACAATGAGCACATCCATGGAGAGAAGAAGGAGTTTGTGTGTCACTGGCAGGAATGCTCTCGAGAACAAAGGCCTTTCAAAGCCCAGTACATGCTGGTGGTTCATATGCGCAGACACACGGGAGAGAAGCCACATAAGTGCACTGTGAGTAAATCTATAGTCCGTCCATGTACTTCTTTTCTCTCTGTTTCTATATCTGTTTTATTTTGGCTTTTGGAAGTTGTGCTCTTTTGTGTTGAACTCGGCTGTTGTTACAAAAACCGAATCTGTGTCTTTCTGTTTCAGTTCGAAGGCTGTAACAAGGCCTACTCTCGCCTGGAGAATTTGAAAACCCACCTGCGCTCTCACACAGGAGAGAAACCCTACGTGTGTGAACACGAAGGCTGCAACAAGGCCTTCTCCAATGCTTCAGACCGGGCCAAGCACCAGAACCGAACTCACTCCAATGAGGTGCTGTACAATGCAATGATAGTTTGAACAATTTCATAACAGGCTTTTTAGGGTACACTAGGAAACCTTTAGTAAACCATACTTTATCTTTTCAAGGTAAACACATGCGTAAATTATCTTTTGTATTCCACACATATATACACATATTTTTTTGTCAGCTAAAGCAAATTAGGCAAATACACCAGCATACCAGTAAACCGCTTCTCGTGAGAGTTGCAATGAGCTCTGCAGTCCTTTTTGTATGCAAGACTGTTTACACACAATCAAGACTTGATGTATTTACATTTGCTTTGTCCTTTTACAGAAACCGTATGTATGCAAGATTCCCGGCTGCACAAAGCGCTACACAGATCCAAGCTCTCTGCGTAAACACGTGAAAACGGTACATGGCCCTGAAGCCCACATCACCAAGAAGCATCGTGGGGACACAGGACCTCGACCCCCTGGTTCAGCGATGACCCCTGGAGGCCAGAGCTCTGAGCTACTGCTGGAGAAGGAGGAGACACGCAGAGAGGACTGCAAGCTGTTGGCTCCTGAGACTACTCTGGTGAGTGATGGCTTCAAAGATCCTTTAGATATAAAGGATTAAGGAAAGCCCCAATGTTGAATTACCAAGCTAATAGTTTCGTTATTTGGGTAGTCGTGATAATTCATTTTTTCACCCATTTCAGAAATCCCAGCCAAGCCCTGGCGGTCAATCATCTTGCAGTAGCGAACGTTCTCCACTGGGGAGCGCCAACAACAATGACAGCGGGGTTGAGATGAACCTGAACGCAGCTGGCAGTCTGGAGGATCTCACCGCACTGGAGGATGGAGTTGCCGGTGGAGGGGAGCCAGTAGGTGTCGGAACAATGGGGATGTCCTCTCAGGCTTTGAAGAGGCTGGAGAACCTGAAGATCGACAAGCTGAAGCAAATCCGCAGACCGACCCCTCCCGGCCGCTGTTCCAACAACAGGCTGCCTGCACTTCCTGGTATGTTCTGCGATAAAATAACAGCTTAATGTTCAGAACTGTGTTGTGGGCAGAGCCTCGGTTGTATTGGTGTCTGAATTGTTACGCAAAATAGAAAATTTCTAAAATAAGTGACCTATGATTGATCAATCTGATGTGAAATACTTTGTATTGACAAACTGCTTCCAAGCCGTTCACTCCCTCTGGATGTTGACTTCCAGGTCCGGGAGAGAACATGGGAATGTGTGCACCATCTCCCCTGCTCTCGAATCGCCGCGTTATGGAGCTGTCCAATCACGAGTTAGGGGGCGGCGCGCCGATTGGCTGCTCTTCTAATGACAGGAGAGGCAGCGGCACCAGCAGTCTAAGCTCTGCTTACACCGTCAGCCGCCGGTCCTCCATGGTGTCTCCGCACTTGTCCAGCCGGCGCTCCAGTGAGGTCTCCCAAATGGGAGGAACGGGAGGCGGCGGATGCCACCACCTCAGTGCAGAGAAGAGCGTGGGCGACCCCCTGTCTCCGGAGACCAATCGCAGAGGTGCTCCCTGTCCCGGGGGAGGACTGCCGGGGCTTCCTAATTTAACACCAGCCCAGCAATACAGCCTAAAGGCCAAATATGCTGCGGCAACCGGCGGACCACCACCTACTCCTTTACCCAACATGGAGCAGCCAGGCACTCCAGCTAGAAGAGGTGTTTTGAGTGAGTACCAGGGGCAGCCTCTGCCCCCCTTCCTTCAAAAAGGTGGCCCGCGTAGGCACAGTGCCAACACAGAGTACGGCACCGGTGTCATCTACCCCCACCAGGCTCCAGGTAACCACAGCCGGCGAGCCAGCGACCCGGTTCGATCGGTAGCAGATCCACAGGCTCTCCCCAAGCGCTTCAACAGCCTGAACAACGTGGCCATGATGGGCAGAAGGAATGCGCTGCACCGCGGCTCTGACACAAGTCTCGCCCGCCACCTGTACTCCCCTCGGCCACCTAGCATTACAGAGAATGTAATGATGGAGGCCATGGGCATGGAGCCCCACCTGGCCCCTATTGATGCCAGGGACCGGTCCATGATGATGCCCCCTGGGGAGAGGAGCTTCATGGGGTACCAGCAGCAACATCAAAGTCTTGGGGGAGTTGGGGGTCCTCTTGGAAACCAGCTGTCCCCAAGCCATGACTCTCTGAGCTGCCCAGACCAGGTGTACATGCAGGGGCCGTACCAGAACCAGGGAGGGGAAGTAACTTCCAGGGCTGGTGGGAATCCAATGGGACAAGTACGGCCTATTCACTCGGAGGGCATATCTAATGCGCTTCTGCAGCAGGCCGAGTACAGTATGAGCACCTGCCAACTCAGTCCCTCAGGCCCCCATTACCCCAGCATAGGCCAGGGTGGAGATGCTGGAGGCCCTTGGAGCGATTCCCACGGCCAAATCCAAACTTCCAACCATGCTCTCCAGAACCAGCGAGGGCTGCAGTATTCGGATCCCAGCCTGCAGCCTCAACAGACGCAGGCCCACTTCAACAATCAGACAGGCCTCTACAGCAGTCCCGATGGAACCCACAAACTCACCATCAAGCCGGAGCAGCAGTTCCACCCGGGGATGGGAGGAGGAAATGCCTGTCAGAGTGCAAAGCTGCAGCAGCAGCAGCGAATGCTCGTCCAGCAACCTCAGGGTTACCCACAACAAACAGGCCAGGTCCTGATGGGGAACTCTAACAATCCCAGCTGTGACTTTCAAGGGCAGAACCAGAACTCCTTCCCCGCCGCGGGGGGCTTGAGCTTGGGGTGCGCTGGCACCGCTCTCGCCGACGGGCAGAGGTCAGAAACCCCGATGATGCAGGTGAAGGAGATGATGGTGAGAAACTATGTACAATCACAGCAAGCACTCATGTGGGAGCAGCAACAAGAACAGCAACAGCAGAGTGGAATAAAACCGCCTCCCCTATCTGATAATATGGATATGAGTGGCCAGACAGCAATAATGCAGCACAGTCCACAACATCAAAACCAGACCCTTTACTCAAGCCAGCCTTACCCGTCCTACCCCAACCAGAACCTGGCCATGAGCCCTCCAGGCCACAGCAGAGGGCCCGGCTCCGTGACGCCCAAAGACCAGCAGCTGGCGGGTCTCCAGGTCTCGTGTTACGGCCAGGAGATGGTGGTCCCCCGGCCCCCTCAGGGGCGCAAGCCTCTCAGCCGCCAGAACAGCCTGTCGCAGGTAGGAGTAGGCTACCTCGGTAGCCCGCCCCACCTCAGCCCCGTCCACTCCGCTTCCAGCCCCAGACGAGTGGTCCGACTTCCTCCGGTGCAGCATCCACAGCACCAGCAGAATGAAATGTTCTCTCCTTCCAATAACAACATGTACTATTCAGGTCAGATAAGCATGGATATGGACAAACACATGGACCCCCAGATTGGAACTTGCCTCAACCAGCCGCACACTATGAGGTCCAACCTGGACCCGACAGGTGGCACAAAGACTTCCCCCATGACTCCCTATCCTGAATCTGGCCCCATCTCCAATGCCTTAGAACACCTGGACCTGGATAATGCTCGCATAGACTTCACCTCGATCATCGATGATGCCGAGTCCTCCTCATTTAGCCCAATCAACAATCCCCTCCACGGTCTGCCGGGGTCTTCCTCCCAGGCCTCATCCCGCCTCACCACCCCCCAGACTTCTGGTCTGTCCAACATGGCTGTAGGCGACATGACGTCCATGCTCACCTCGCTGGCTGGGGAGAATAAATACCTGAACACGCTGTCTTAGAGGAGGACTTTGGGACATTTTTCCCACATTAGCAATCGAGTTCTTGATATTTTAATTGAGGTCCCACCTGGAGATGTATGAAACACAGTATTCAGGCATAACTTGCATTGGGTTTAGAACATTAAAAAGCTGTTGCTTACGGGATACTTCAAGAATGTTAGGTTTAGGTTAAACTGACGACATATCATATAATGGGTATAATTAGCCCTTATTTGAGCCAGAATTCCTAAACTCGTAAGACGACTGTTTTCCAGTCGCTACCAGGAATAAATGATATGTTGGAATGCATTTTGGTTGCAAGTTGAGACAAGAGTCAAAATTGTAATAATGCCCTAACCCGAAACCTTAAAACCAAAGGTGCCTGATCAACCTCCCTCGCTGTATTGTTCCTTCGCTGCCTTGGTACTTTCTCTGTGCCTTTCTGTAAGACACAGAGCTATATGCCTGATATGAAACTGACACTGAACTTTTTCTAACCAGGCATTCCAGTCACATGGTGCTGGTTGCAACAGTGGAGCACAGAAGGATGCATGTAAATAACCTTTATATACATTTATATATTTTGTGTATACGACAATGAGACAGTGGATAAATTGTCCCCCGTCTTGTGACAAACTGCTTGTATTCTAATGGCCCAATATTCAGACGGGAGTCCGTACGGTGTTTGTTTAAAGAGCTGAGCTAAGATATTAAGTTGTGCTTGTAGTGATTGAGAAATCATTTTCTGGGTGCTACTAAATATCAATCTGAATTGCAAGGGGATTCCTTCCTTGTCATGAGCAACACAATCTTTTATAGTGGCATATCAGTATTCCCACAGCTGCAGAAATGCAGTCACACACACACGCACACACACACACACACACACACACAGAGTCCACACACAGACACTCAGGACTTGTTGGTGTTTGAATCGTTGGTGTTCAGATTAAATGCATTTTGTATTTGCCTTTCTAGACAGAGAGTTTGCACTCCACATGTTTACTGTAGGTGTTCTTGAAGCAGCTGTGTACTTGTGTTTTTTTTCCAGTGGTGTTTATATCTGCAAAACAAAGTTCCTTGCTCTGGCGAAAGGTACACTCACAGGGGATCAAAGAGTAAAGCTCAATCATAATATGTGTGCAACAGGACCCACTACGTTGCAGTATGTCCGTCTGATATATTAATGACTCAGATGAGGACCGCAGCTATTTTGAATGAAACCCGAGTCAGCTGGTTTGTGTCTATTAACAGATCTGTAATGGTTGCCTATGTTTGAGAAACGTTCAATGCTGCTGCACTTCGGCTCTAATCCCAAAGAAGAGTTATTGGGGAATTTCTGCATCACCAGTTCGGTATAGAGGATCGAGAAGCAGGAGTTTTTTTCAATCGCTGCCACCATAGTAAAATACATATTGTCAGTGGGTATAATGAGGTACTTTTCTGCAACTTTTGAGCTGTTTCACATAGACGAAGACTGCAGCTCTTGGCGAGAGAATGGATTTTACACTGTGGCTTTGCACTGACTCCAGCACTGTGTGGACAGATTTCTGATGACTATTCACATGAACCTCATTTTGATAGCGAGAAATAATTATCCCAGTATTTTTTTAATAGTAATTCAAGAACACGTCCGAGGTCAGCCAGAGGTATTAAAGCCACATCATTGTATTGCGGGAGCATTTCACAGGATTTTTCAGAAGAAAATAGTAGCGGGAATAAACATTTCTTCATTTTTGGAAAAAGTGTACAACCTACCAAAGACACCTTAAAAGGACTGAGAAAAAGATGCACAAATAGTCTATTTTAACACAACACTAACACTAGCATTAAGGGCATGAACATTGGATGGTAGTGCTGTTCCTTAGAATGTATGAGATGTTTTGTATAAAATTCTTTTTATATTAATGAACTTTATGGATGTTGCCTTCTATGTGTGCGTTTATTTTTTTGTTTTGTTTTTTATAACTGTCATCCTTCATTCTGACTTTTTTGCTGGCAAAAGAATAATACCTTTAGCACCTAAACGCTATAATAGTAGAGCTAACTACAATAGACAAAAGCCAACTGTTATATTTTGTGTACAATTTTCTACATTTTTATACAAATGTGCTATATTTTACCAGTTTATGAATAAAGATGTTCAGCGGGCCGGATGCAGCAGGTTTGTCAAAGTTTTCTTTTCACATCTGTGGCTGTAAAATCGTGTTTTGCTACTAAACGCAATCAAGTGACATATCGTATATGGTCACTTCTGGACGGTTTAGAGTAAAGACGTGGAAATAACCTCTCCTCCACTGGATGACCCTTGATTCTGCCCCGCTGGATCAATGCAGCGCCATCTTTCCTCCAGTAGAGGGCAGTAGAGGCAACAGAATATCCCTTTCCTTCAAAACAAATAGAGCTCCACAGCCAAAGTTCAATGCTGCACCATCACCTATATTCTGTGCAAATGTTACTTCAGGAAGCAACCAATGTTAGTTACTATGGATACACAAGACACAAAGCTTAAAGTCTCACGTTAGACGGCTCGTGAGTACATGTTCGCCACAAAGAAATCCCTGCAAGCAATTCAAGTCTATTCTGCGTAATTGTGATCCAGCACCCCAAAATAATTGTAAAGTCTTAACCATCCGGCCAAGCAACGGCAACTATCATAAATCATGTTTTGTTTTGTCTTTGTCATAATTGTGCAAACCACTTGTTATGACTATGATTTAGACGAGCATGTCAATGCAGTCTATTATCAGCTACAGTGATCTGCTGAGCAGCTACAGTAAGTAAGTGGATGAGCTGTAAAAATGGCCGCTGGTGGTGACATCAGCGCTGGACGGGCTCCCCGTGGTCAGCCGGGACTGGCAGTGTGGGCCGCTGAGTGCTGCAAGAAACGGCAACTACAGAAGGCTCATAAAATATTATCAACATCTTAAAGACACAAACTAAGAGAGTGGAGGGAAAGTAATTAGAGTGTAGTTGTATGTGACACTCCTCAGCAGGGGTTTCCCAATATTTCTGGCTCGTAGCTGCCTGAAATGAGGTCATGTTTATTTGTGATTTCAAGTCACAGGAAAGTGGTGTAGAGCAGTGGGACCAAAGAGTGATTTTTCAGAAAAAGAATGACCCTTATTTTGTGGGTTTCTTCTGTCTTTAAATCCCGTGAATCACCCTGTGGTAATGAGGTACATTACCATACACATATTCAAACTAAATTAGAAATATTTACAGCCTAATTAAAATGATTTAATTACAATGTCTCTACTGAAAATATAATTTTCACATGTCTTGTGGAGCAGTTGTCAATTTAAAAGTGTGTGACAAAGTGTGCTACAACCGTAGCAACAGTAACCATCATTTAACTACAACCTTGATTAACTTCCAGTTGACTTGAAAAAAGTCCGAAAGATATGAGCGCATCAAAATACACCCAAATATTAACCTCCCACAGGGGTATTGTGATGTAGAAACCAAAAGACTTGAGCATTATCTCGGGTGCTTTGTGCGTTACCTCGCCGTGCAGCTTAAACTGCTGTGTTTAGGGATTTTGTATTGTAACTTTTTAATGTGAAATGTATATAAATAGCAATCACCACCATTACTTTTTACAGTGCTGGCTCACATTTGATCCAGGGGCCCCAGCTAGCCTGGACTATATTGGCATTGTGGTGTTGTGGCATGGCACGGTAGACTCACGGCAGCCACTTCAGCCTGGCAGGGATGCTGAAGCTGACTCATTCGCTCCGAGGGAAGGGGAAGTTCTGACTGACTACCGATCGGCAGTCTGGCATGTCTACATTTGTTATTTTAAACAATAGCTCCACTGAAAGGTCAAAGAGAGGGTCACCTGAGAGGAGATTAAAGGGAGAATAACGTCATTAAACTATTCACACTTTTAGCGCCACATGTTGAACACACACGTATTAGTGCATGTTACAGCTTATACCCATTAGCTTGCATTTAGTTGGGAAGAGGTAATGCTTCAGGTTTCCAAAATACTAGAAAGGATCCATAGACCCATTAAGCAGATCAAAAGTGCTTTTCACTCATTTAAGGCAATTCACCCTCGCAATGAGGTGCTTAGATAAATCAGAGTCGGCTATGTTTTTCTTTTAAAGAACTCCTGGTGTAAATGTTGAATGCCTTTGCTTTCCTGTTTTAATATTTAACTTCGATCTGAAATGTATGTAATAGTGTCAAATGACGGGAAAAGTCACAATGATTCTTTTCCTGGAAATGTTGCCCTGTCTCTTGCCTCAGGCCAGAGGGATTGTTATGGATAGCTTCTTTTTTTAGAGTGTGTGTGTGTGTGTGTGTGTGTGTGTGAACGTATATATTTCCAAACCGTATTCTCGAGGAGGTTTGAGCGAGTCTGATGTCAAACGTTAGACGGCACTGATGCAGAGACAGTGTTTTTTAACTTTCTAAAATGTGATGTCCTCTTTTCTGTGGAGTCACAAATGGAAATGCCAAAATAAGAGTTTTTTTCAAATGCAAAGAAGTGGGCAGCATAATGACTTTTCCCTTTTCTTGTCTTGCCATTCAGAAGAAGGCTTTTCTTTTCCTTTGTCACTTAGGTTGGCATATAATTAACTCCTGCTTAATATGCTGTTTAAGGGCTCTCCTCCCCATGGAAGAAGCTTTGAACCCATAGACCACGGTCAGGGACAAAACCCCAGTGGGACTGCTTCCTCCGCGCTCCTCCTAGTGTGTGCGTATGTGTATGTATGGAAGAAGTAGTTGTTTTACCAAGACAGTAGAACGCCACAGCTACCGCCACTGCATACTTATTTGACTCTGCACAACTATTGGACCAGAATGAGACTGTGCACACGCATTCACCATGTGGCCATCAGCGATCAAACGAATTAACACTTCAAACGTTGCGTCATTAAACCCATCTGAAAGAAGTGCATTAGAGTACAGAATAGAATACATAAACACATGTTATTGTTTATTGGTCTATGGTAACATTTAGGTTGAATACAAAGCTAAACCTAAAGCTTAAAGTTTTAGTATATGATACTAAACATAAAGAAATCAGTGAGAAATATACAGTTTGATTGAACTCAATTCAAATTTGAATGAAAAACACTCAGCGAAAGCAACTTATAAACCGTGTTTCCTCAAATGACCATCTTTTTTTTTTGTATTTATAAAACAGCTCCCAGGACCTCTAAAGCACCTCTGCACCTCCATGACCCTCATCTGTAAAAAAGTTTATTGCCCCCCCTCCTCACCCACCTCCGCGCCCCTCTCCTTTTCTCCTCCCTCTCCTCTATCCATCCCTCCACAAAGAGCCGTGATGACCCTTCTGTCCCTGTCTTTATTTGGCTCTCCGCTCCCTCCCCACCTCCAGGATGCTTTCTCTTCCAGAATCCATTAGGACACAAACCCCCAGCAGCCATGATGGGTTAAGGAACGGAGGGGGAAGTTTTTTGTTTTTCTACCAAGAGCTGATCATTTGGAAAAGTGTTTTTTTTTTCTTTTCTTAAAATGGGACCCAAACAGCATGTTTGTGGTGATCGGATATTTAAATATTATTACTACACACACACAGGGCCCTTAATTATGATATTAAGTTGAAGAAGTACCTTATTTATCTAAATTATATAAAGAATAAAATAGATGCCACGTGGATCATGTTAAATCCCATGAGTGTAGTACTTCAGGGCCTGTAAGCAATTTGGGTCATTTTTAAACGAATCTGTTTTGATAGTGTCTTTAAAAAACCTACAATCACTGAATAACTCTGGGCTACTCTTTGTGGGGGGGTTGGGTTTTCAATTGACTCCTCTCGCCTCTCAGAAATGCGCGCAGGTAATCGCTCTTTCACTCCTCTAATCTGTTTCACGGGGTCAGATCCCCGTTTGTTTACTCCGCTCTCCCTCCATAGAGAGACACATTATGCGCCGTGAAAAGCTACCCGGCTCGCTTTTATTATCTCCAAGTTAGGCAGAGCTTGGGGGGGGCTACGGGGGGTGTAATAGAAAGCTAAAGGTGGGGGTCCTGAACGGTTTTATTTCGGATGTTTTTTTCAGTTGCAAAACAGATTACGGTCCAGGTTGCAACACAAAGGACGGTCAATGCACCACTTCCTACAGCCATCCAGCGGTGAATGGGCCGCAGGATGGGGTCCCCCTGCGGGGTCCTCGAGCGCAGGTGCGACGCGTATAACAGTCGAGCCATAAAACATGAGGCGGGGGTAGGGCTTTTTGTTTCGTTTTGTACCTGTACCTGTCGCCATTAACCTGCAGTTAGTGTAACCTCTTCGCGGTGGAAACGTAGCGAGACGTAGTTAAGTAGTTAACGGCCTCGTTGGCACCTCAACCACATTTTTTTTTTTTAAAAGCGTTAAACGTGCGATGAGCTCGCGCTGCGGCGTCTGCGCGAGGTGCCGGTAAGCTCGTTTATAAGCATCGAGGAGAGAAGGTTTCCAACAAAAAAATAAACGCAAACGCACACAATATGAGATTTTAACGAGGAGACGAGCCGCCATTCGTGTCTCCTGTCGAACTTTACACTAATTACCCACAAACAACGCACTATAGTAACAGTGAAAGTGGCGCGCTCCCGCAATGTAGAGGGAGGAAACCAGCGAGGCCACGCGGACACACACCGACCCTCTCGTAAAAGAAAAATAAGTTTCTTCAAAGCATGACGTCATCGCAGGCGGTGGACTTTACGGACTACTTTGTAACGCGCGAGGAAGGTGCACGCTTGACCTCGGGGACGAACATCTTGCCGGTGACGTCACTCCGCCTCGCGGCGCGTCGCCTCCGCTTTTTGAGTCCCATCGAGGTCTGAGAGAGAGAGAGAGGGAGAGACAGAGAAAGGGAGAGAGAGATAGAGAGAAAGGGAGAGACAGAGAAAGAGAGAGAGAGAGAGAGAGAGAGAGAGAGAGAGAGACAGAGAGAGAGAGAGAGAGAGAGAGAGAGAGACAGAGAAAGAGAGAGAGAGAGAGAGAGAGACAGAGAAAGAGAGAGAGAGAGAGAGAGAGAGAGAGACAGAGAAAGAGAGAGACACAGACAGAGAAAGAGAGAGAGAGAGAGAGAGTCTCCCGCTGCGAGGCGAAGGCGATGCCTCATCCCCATTCATTCTGAGGCAGGCGCTCGGGACAAACGCGCACTCGCACCGCTCTCCACCGGACAACTTAAAACAACAAT